GCGCTGAGGATTCTGAGTCTTCTGATGCCCGGTCTCCTTGGATTAGCCACCTTTAACCGTGTGTGCCTCTCACCTCACAGCAGCTGCACGACTGGTACGGTCGCCGTCAGGGTCGCGCTTCTGGAGCTCGGGGCTATGCCGTTGGAGGTACTTCTGCTGGCGTCACTGGAGCTGGGAGTGGTCCTGGTCCCGGAGGTGCTCGTACTGGAGGTACTGGAGCTGCTGGGGCTAGAGGTGATGAGCCTGAGGGTGCTACTGCTGGAGACCCTGGGTCTAGGGGTGCTGCTGCTGGAGACACTGAGGCTGGAGACCCTGGGACTGGAGGTGCCGGTTCTGGGGGTGCTGCTGCTGGTGGAGCTGGTCCTGTAGGAGCTGGCGCTGAGGGTTCTGGAGCTGCTGGCGGTGCTGGAGCTGTTGGGGGTGCTGGAGCTGCTGGTGCTGGTGGCATTGCACAGCCGCACCTGTTTGTTGCTCCACCGTCTCCGTCGTCTCAGCCACCGTCTGACTCTGCGCTTCGCCAGGTTCTTAGTCTCCCTTCGTCTACTGGTCTTCCATTACAGCCTGGCTTACCGCTGCCTGCTCCATCTCCTTACACTGAGGAGACAGGGGGTCTTACTAAGCGTCGTGCACCTGCGTCGCGTCCTGTCTCGCCTGTCCAATCTGGTCATTCTGGTCGTCGTGTTCCTCGTTCGCGTCAGCCGGCTGTCACCGGCACCTACTTTGTAGTTTATCGTCCTTCCTCTCCTCCGCAGCGTGTTCCCCTGCCGTCCCCTCCTACGACTTCTCTGCCTACCGTTCCTAAGCCTGAGTCTGACCACACCCGTGCTGCTCACCCTAGTGTCACGCGTCTGCTAGCCATAGTTGTCACTGGTCCGACAGGAGGTCTTACAGAGCGTCGTGAGCCTGAGTAACGTCCTATGTCGCCTGAGTCTCATTCTGCATCACCTGTTTGTGCTGCTCGCACTGGTCGTCATGTCCCACGTCAGCATCTCGTCCCAGGCACTCACCACATGACGCTTCGTCCTTCCACCGTACGACAGCGTGTCCCTCTGCCTTCTCCTCCTGCGTCCTCCCTTCCTGCCCTTGCTGACCCGGAGTCTCACTCTCTTCATGCTGCTAGTCCTACTGTCACGCGTCTCCTGGCCACGGCTATCACTGACCTTTCCTTTGAGTCAGCTGCTGCGTCTGCCCTAGTCACTGAGCTTCTTGACTTTGCTGCTGCCTGTCGTCTAGACTATGCCGCTGGTCTTGTTGCTGAGTCTGAATCTGTCTATCCTCCATCCTTCGGGGGTGAGTGTGCTCTTGGCACGGACGTCCTTGAGGACAGGCAGGAGGACCTTGAGTGTCTTGCAGTCGTTGCGCCTCATCTCGTGTCCATGCTGCTTGCCCCTGAGGGAGACCCGGATGCACCAAACATCCCGACCCCGCGCTCTTACGCAGAGGCAATCGCGGGTGAGTACTCCTCACAGCGGCAGACAGCCATGGACGCAGAGATGGCATCCTGGAAGTCCACAGGCACTTACATTGACGAGGATCCCCCTCCTGGGGCAAACATCGTCAGTGGCATGTGGATTTTCAGGGTGAAGCGGCCGCCAGGTTCTCCGCCTGTCTTCAAGGCTCGTTACGTTGCTCGAGGTTTCAGTCAGCGAGAGGGAGTAGACTTCTTCCAGACCTTCTCCCCCACCCCAAAGATGACCACTCTTCGGGTGCTGCTGCACGTTGCCGCTCAGCGTGACTACGAGCTTCACTCTCTTGACTTCACCACAGCTTTCTTACAGCGCAGCCTGCATGAGGAGATCTAGCTCCGCCGCCCTCCTGGCTTCATTGGGTCGTTCCCTCCTGGTAACTAGTGGAGCCTCCGGCGGCCGGTCTACGGTCTCCACCAGGCACCACGTGAGTGGCACGACACACTGACAACACTTGCAGCTCTTGGGTTTGCTCCGTCGACTGCTGACCCGTCGTTGTTTCTGCGCACTAACTCGTTGCTGCCGCCGTTCTACATCCTTGTGTACGTCGACGACTTGGTCTTTGCCACTGCTGACACCGAGGCTCTCGCCCTGGTGAAGTCGAAGCTGCAGAAGAGACACACGTGCATAGACCTGGGTGAACAGCACAGCTACCTTGGCTTGCAAATCACCCGGGAAAGAGCACGCCGCACCATCACACTTACTCAGTCGCACATGGTGCAGCAGGTCCTTCAGCGCTTCGGCTTCACCTGGTCCTCGCCACAGCACACTCCTTTGGCTACAGGCCACTCGCTCTCAGCTCCACCTTCGGACGAGTCCGTAGAGCCGAGTGGCCCGTACCCAAAGCTAGTGGGCTGCCTCATGTACCTAATGACTTGCACTCGACCTGACCTTGCGTACCCTCTTGGCCTTCTGGCTCGCTACGTGGCTCCTGGTCGGCACCGAAAGGTGCACATGGATGCTATGAAGAGGGTGCTGCGCTACTTGTGCGGTACATCGGGCATGGGGCTCGTGCTTGGAGGGCGGATCGCAGTTGTCCTCACTGGGCACTCAGACGCTTCTTGGGTTGACGACCAGGCTATGAAGCGGTCGTCACAGGGTTACACCTTCAGCCTTGGCTCTGGTTCAGTTTCTTGGCGTTCTACACTCTCGTCTTCTGTTCTCAGCTCAAGTTGTGAGGCTGAGATCCACGCCACAGCCATGCCTGCACAGGAGTTACGCTGGCTCACCTACCTGTTGACCGACTTGGGAGCAGGGCTGTCGATATCCGTGGGGGCAGAACTTGAGGCCCTCAGCTGCTGAAATTCTGACCCTGATTTTCAGGGAGGTGACCAAATTTTCGCCCTTAACGGTCACGGGTGCAGGCCGAAGTGTAAACTTGAAATCCGGGCTCCTAAGTGTTGTGTACTTAACTAACCTAAACAACATCTAAGACAAGAAAATCACATACTTTTCACTGCTAACTACTCCAGTCAACATGTATGTCACAACTTCCAACTACAACTACAGTTGCACTACCTACTGCATTTCTACTCATCTGCTGACTTCGACACTAGACACACACTAGATTGGATAGAAATCGAGTGAAACATCCTCCACCTAGAGCCCTACTGTGCAACTTTTATGGAAAGGGGGGGGGGGGTTAGGGGAGGGGGGTGTTCCGCAAGATTTTGGGGGGGGGTTCTGCGGAACCGAAAGTATAAATTAGATTCAGGGGATGGCCCAGATTGAGCACTTAACGCGTCCGGGAAAGGGCCAAACGATGCCCTTAACTGGCACGGGTGCCATTCGAATCAAACCCTTAAAATGGTCGAGTTGCGCCGAACATAACCCGGAATGTTCAGGGCATTAAGGGCAAATGCCCTTGAATCGACAGCCCTGCTTGGGAGAGCCGCCTCGTTCTCCTCCAGTGCTGTACGTCGACAACAAGGCCGCCATTGCCTTGTGTCAGGAGCACAGACTGGAGCACAGAACGAAGCACATCGCTCTGCGTTACTTCCTGGCTCGAGAGTTGCAGCAGCGTGGGCAACTTCGTCTTGCTCACGTGGCCACTCGGGCCAACACTGCTGATATATTCACCAAGGCACTTCCGTCTGGTGATCATCAGCGTTTCTGTACTTTATTAGGCCTTGTGCCCACTTTTCTTCACTTGCTGTAGACTTTGCTTGTACTGTGATCTATATATATACCTGCATGCTTGTTCTGCTAGGTAGAGATCACTGTGCTATTGGTGTTGCATATGTACCCCTGCATGTGAACTGGCCTTGTGGCCATTTGCTTGTGCTCAGTGTGTGTGGTGACGTTGTGATCCACCCTAAGCTTGCTTTGCTTCGCTTGACTGGTCTTGTGACCCCTTGCTCTCCCCCACTTTGCCTATGGGGGTGTGTCGAAGTATATGCATGTTTTATGTGTAGGATGTAGTGGGGTAGCCAATATGGGGTACAGCCCCTATTAGGGTTCCATACTTGTACCCAACTCTTTCATAGTTGATTTATACCAGCTGCTATATTCCAACACGAATTGAAGTCTTGACAATCTTGAGTAATATATGGCCTTTTAGGGCGTGTGTCTTTTGGAGTGTATTGTAAGTTCATGTTCTTTTGCGACTTAATACATTTGAACCTTGGTCAACTTGTTGTCGACTGTCCTGAAAATTTTCCCTCTTCCCTTCTCATTGTTTCTTTCCTTTTTCACATCAAGCACATGAACCAACAAAGTTCGACTGTCGAAGGTCCATTTTATTAAGTAAATCCCGATTCGCGCCTACATTTCGTAGGCTACCTGGTCTATAAAAAGGCCTTCGTGACCGAATCCGACTTCGGTAACTCGCAACGAAGCAGTTCGTGTACGTCGCAATTCTCGCTGCTGCTTCGTCCGTGAGCAGTGGAACACACTGGAAAAACGTGGACGAAAAAATCGAAAGCGAGGTCGACCCCAGTTCAGTGTCCTGTTTTCTCAAACATTTTACATGGACACACAAACGTCGCAAACAGTGTTAAGCGAAATTAACGAAGCCGGTTACCAGCAAAAGGTCGACCTTTTTTCCGAACGTCTACACCAAAAGACACATGCCCTTATTGAAGCAGGGCACTGACTGAGCCAAACATGAAGCCTGGGAGGGGAAAGTGTCGGTTCAGAGCTATGCGGCCCGATACCGTATGATCCGACGAACCGCGATAGTTTTCTTTCAGACATAGTGGTTCGGGTGGTCACTTACTCTGACAGAAATGCTGAAATACGCTGGTTGGGCAGATGAATAAGGCAAGCGCAATCCTGAGCAGGCCTTGGGTTTGTACAAATTCATGGTTCAGCAAAACTAGGGACGTCCTTCCATTACTAGCCATTCAGGTGGATAGAGATCACATGTGCCTCAAAAAGAAAAGAAATCTAATAATATTTGAAACTAACATATCTAATAACATTCAAGCAAATATCAGAGACTGCATATTTATTTAGCAAGCTCGTATGAACCACCAATTCCTGGTTGGTCCATCATTATTCCCAAAACCATGTACTCCCAACCATGTTGCTCACTCACTTCCTGACAGGCTTTACAGCAATCGCCGACCGAACAGAGTGACCCTTTTCGTCCACCCAAGTGAGGCTCCCATACTGAAAGTTTTTTGAGGTTTTAGTAACCTTGAAGGTCACCACAAAGCTGACCTTCTGACCAGGCGAGATGGCAAAGCTGCTGGGCTTCACAGTAACATCCACCCCATTAGGCTTCTGAATCTTGGCAGTGTAAGTGGAGGCAGAGTCAGCGACACAGGTGACAGTGCGTGTGACTTTTATCTTGCCTTTGAGGCTGGCAAGTGCGATGGTGGGGCGGTTGAGCTCTCTGGGAGGCACAGAGGTGAGCTTCTCATTCGGGTACTCTGACCGGGTCCTCTGCATGTCCAGCCCGGCCAGGAAATTCAGATAAGCGCTTTTCCGGGCGTCATACGTGAGCCCGGGGTCGAGAACCTTGGGTGGGAACACATGCCCGTTGCCCATATCCCATGGCGTGGCGGCTTGCCCTGAGGCGGCACTAGAGATGGCAGCGCCGTTGACGTCCTTGGTTGTAGCTGTGGTCATGATGGCAGACATGACCTGCGCGGGGCTCCAAGAAGGGTACTTCTGCATCACCAGCGCAGCAATCCCCGCCAGGTGAGGCGTCGCCATGGACGTCCCGGACAGCTGAGCCGACCCGCCCTTGTCGCCCACGCGCGTGCCCGGGGCAGCAGCATAGAGGTCCACTCCCGGGCCGACAATGTCGGGCTTTAAGATTGAGTCGGTGGCCAGGCCACCGCCGGTGCCGATGTCTGGGAAGATGAGGGGACCCGTGGAGGAGAAATCGGCCACGTTGGGCGCGGAATCGCCGGCTGAGGGCTTGGCGGAGGGTGTGGCGGAGGATGACGTCAGATTGGTGGATGCTGCTGCTGACCTGGATGCGCCCGCTGAGCTGGCAAGAGTGAGGCCGCCTCGGGCGATGGTGCTGGGGGAGGGGAGGAGTGGGGGGTGGGACATGGAGATGCGGGGACGTTGGGGGGAAATGGGGTGAGGATGGTGGTATTAATAAGGGAAGCTAGAGGAGTTGAGGGAGGGAAGCAACGAAAACGTCCCAAACTCTGTGCTTCGCAAACCCGCATCACAGTCAAACAAGATGAAAGTGTGATGATGGAGGTAGAGGGAGCGAGGCAGCAGGCTCTGTGAGTCAGACTGTGAGGCAGCTGGCTTGGCTCACCTGGCGCCCACTGTGAGGCAGCTGGCTTGGCTCACCTGGCGCCCACTGTGAGGCAGCTGGCTTGGCTCACCTGGCGCCCACTGTAAGGTAGAAGGGTGCATAGTTGTCGAGCGAGCGGTATCCTTGGGGGGGACCGTCGTTGCCCGCAGCAAAGGTCACGACCACCCCCGCCTGACCATTGGGAAGGAGGGAAGAAGGGAGAGGAGAGGAAATGAGAAGAGAGGAGAGCAGCAGATAAGCCGAGCATAGTAATGCTGGTGTGCTGCACAGCGAGGGTTTAGGAGAGGGAGCAGCACCACGCTGACAAACGAGCAGCACCACGTTGAAAAACGAGCAGCGGGGGACAATCGGGCGAGGGAGCGGCAGCACGTTGACGATGAGGAGTGCGATGTGGAAGCAGGCGAGATGCGAGGAGAGTGCGCGACACCGAGCAGAGAGGAGAGAAAAAAGGGAGCAAGGCGGGAAGCAGGAAGGTGGGCAGGAAAGGGAGCAAGGAAGGGAAAGCGGCACAGGGAAAGCGGCACAGGCGAGCGTATGAGGAGAGCAAGGTGGCGAGAGGCACAGGTGAGCGAATGAGGAGAGCAAGGTGACGAGAGGCACACCAGGCTGGCGTTGAGGAATGCGATGTCGTCAAAGTAGGTGTGATGTGAGGAGAGGTGGGCGCATGGCACATAGAGGGCGGCACACAGAGGGCGGCACACAGAGGGCGGCACACAGAGGGCGGCGCACAGAGGGCGGCACACAGAGGGCGGCGCACAGAGGGCGGCACACAGAGGGCGGCACACAGAGGGCGGCACACAGAGGGCGGCACACAGAGGGCGGCACACAGAGGGCGGCACACAGAGGGCGGCACACAGAGGGCGGCACACAGAGGGAGGCACACAGAGGGCGGCACACAGAGGGCGGCACACAGAGGGCGGCACACAGAGGGCGGCACACAGAGGGCGGCACACAGAGGGCGGCACACAGAGGGCGGCACACAGAGGGTGGCACAAAGAGTTCGGCACGTAGAGCGCGGAGAGAGAACAGGGGATGAAGGAGGGGAGAGCAGCGCACAAAATTGGCGTTGAGGAAGGTGATGTCGTCAAAGTTGGTGTCGGTGGGTGGGGTTCACGGAGAGGAGCAAGGAGAGGAGCAGGGAGAGGAGCAGGGAGAGGAGCAGGGAGAGGAGCAGGGAGAGGGGCACAGACGAGAGCTGAGAGAGTCACACCAAGTTAGCGTTGAGGAAGGCGATGTCATCAAAGTAGGTGTCTTCGGGGTTCACGGCGCCCAGGGAGAGCGAGATCACATCCACGCCGTCCGCCACGCCCTGATTTACGGCTGCGATGATGTCTGCCTCCTCCGCCCACATCCCATCGCTGGACGACCAGAAGACCTTGTATGCCACGAGGCGCGCTGCTGGCGCCATGCCGCTCGCCTTGCCGCCCGCCATGGGCACTCCCTTGTTTCCCGCTGCCGCTCTGCGAAGGGTAGGGGAGGTGGGGGATGCGTGGAAGGCGGGATGGAAGGAGGGGGACCGCATACGAGGGGACGCATGGAGGGGGATGCATTGGGGATACATGAAGAGAGGGAATATTGGGGAAAGGATTGCGAAGAGTTAGGAATGAGAACATGGGCAGACATCTGTATGACACGATGCGCACAGTGAATGTCAGCGACCCGACTCACCCCGCACACCACGTGCCGTGGCCGTTGGCGTCGCGCGGAGACAGCCAATCCCCGGAGAGATCCAGCCCGTTGGCGCTTTTATACGCTTTATAAAACGCGCGCGCACCGATCAGCTTGTTATTGCACTTAAAATCCTTCGTGGTGTCGCACTTCCCCGACCACCCAGCAGGCCGCGACGAGGAGAACTCCGTGTCGCTAAACGACGGGTGTTCCGGCCAGATCCCCGTGTCGACGATGGCAATTACCGTACCGTCGCCCGCCTTCGCCTGCCCGCCATTCGCGGGCCAGAGCGACCCGGCGCTGTTCATCCCAAGGAAGGTGGGCGACTCGGTCGTGAAGAGGCGCTTGCGCGCGCTCGGGCGCACGGACGCCACGGCGGGGTGGCGCTTCAGCCGCCGCAGCTGTTCCGCCGTCAGCTCCGCCGAAAAGCCGTTGGACGAGTACTTGTAGCTGCGCGGGGAAGAACGTGAGGCGCAAAGGCGGGAGAACAGAGGCGGATGTGGGGAAGAGGGCACAGGTTAAAAGGAACGAGGTGTCGGCTACTTTAAGTGCGAGCATGATAGGTGCCATCAGGTTGGAGGACTAATGTAGCTGCCCGAGGGGGACGGGGTGTGGGGACAGGAGTTGGGAGGTGGGGTGGAGGAGGCGGGACGTGTGGACAAAGAGTAAAAACAAAAAGGTGGCGGAGAAATGGGGCCGCTATGTGGCAGTGTGAGCACCGGCGGTTAGCACCGGCATCTTCAAAAGCAAATCGGAAGTAAGAAACCAAGATCCTTCTCGCGTATTATGATACACTGGGCTGCTTCCAACGCGTTTGTTACTTACCGGCACGCCATCTTGCTCAGCGCCACGCATCCGTGCGATAGCCAGAAGTCAGTAGGCTGAGTCTAGAATCTCAGATCCGCGCGCTACCTCGTAAACGCGCTGGTTGCTCACCTGTACGCCATCTTGTCCGAAGCCACGCCCACTTCCGACGCGATCTGCGCCTGCTGCGTCTGCAGCATCTGCGCGTACGCCTTAACCTGCGGGTTGTTCTTGCTGAGCCGCGCGCGGCGCGGCACCCTGCCGCCCGTCGCCGTCACCTCTTCGTCCACCGCCTCCGCCGTCGCCATCAGCCCTGCCGGGCGGGCGGCGCTGTCGCTACTCTCGTCGTCATCGTTGTCGTCCGCCCAGCCGGAGAAGCTGGAGACGGCTCCGCGATACGCGGCGAGGGGGAGCGCGGAGTGGAGGCGCACGATATAGAGACCGCTGCCGCCGTCGCTGCCGCCACCATTGCCGTCACCACCGCTGCCGCCACCACCGCCGCCACCGCCGCCGCCACTGCCGCTCGGCCCATTTCTAGTTTGGACAACTGTAGGTGGGGGGAAAAGGAACATGGAGCGAACGAAGTCAGTTATCGAATGATACTCACCCGTGTTTCGTGTGCACATTGCGGTTCGGTACGGCTGTCTATGCGTCAAACTGATGCGTCCGTACTTACGCCGGACAGAGAGGCATTGACACGTGGCAGCGAGGAGCGACAGGGCGAGGAGGAGGAAATTTGCGGTACGCATCATGCCGTTGACGGTGATTCACGCCCAGCGAATTATGTCACTTGCGAGCTAAGCAAGGGCGATGGTGATGCTAACTTGAGTAGTATGGTATTCGTATATTTCACGATTTTTCCACGGTTTTAGCGTGAGAACTGGCGGGTCAAAATGTAAGCACGTTGGTGCTTGTAGGGTACGTTGAGATACGGAATGACGAGCGGGTTATTATACATGGCTTGCGGATGGGTCGTTCCCTGCCGTCTCTGTGCTCATGCGCCTCGAAAGACGTCGTGGGTAGGTGCTGGGGTTGTTTATAAAGTCTTCTGTAGCTAAAGACGTCATGGCATGTGGGCGTCAGGTTGGTACTGAAGATGTTTCGACGGAAAAGGTGGGTGAATTTTGGGGGAGGGTGTTGTCTGGATCGACTAGTTAGTTGAAGGCGAGCAGAAATTGTTCCAGCAATTCCACAGTGCACTCCAATAATTGCGATGTCGTCGAGGCGCATGTTGCATGGACAATCTGGAGAGCACGACGCGGAGAAATGGCGCGTCTCGTAACTGGAACGACGTCGCAACTCTAACTTACATATAGGATCCTCTGATATGATTATTAACAAAATGGGATGGAAAATGTAAGGATTTACAGAATCCTTACTGAGGCACTCGTTAGCGAGGCCATCCCGAGGGTCACGCGACGAACCTGTCCTTCCTATTTCGTCGCACCGAACCACCCCCGAGTCGCCTCCGCACCAATCGCATCCATCACCGAGCCATCTTCGCCCAACCTCCCCGCCTTGCTAGGACTTCCCCTATTTAGGCCTCGTCACATCCATTGTATCGGGATTCAGTAATTCAGTACTCAATCATTCTCGATATTCGTTTTACTGCACACTCTGCAAGTTCATTCATAACACCTGGTATCAGAGCTACTTTCCTAGCCTACCCCGCTTTTTAGAGTGTAGTACCCCTCAGGGGGGGGACGAGGAAGGATGTCTTGGGGTCCAGGAGTTGCGTAGGCCGGCCAGGAGAACGGGTTAGTTGCTCCTCGCGGCCATGGTTTTACGGGTACTCCTTCGGCACCGCCAGAACCTTGCCTCGAACAGTCGCGATCGACCGTGGCCTCCCTCCCCCCGGGCAACGGACAGCAGTAGCTGTCGCGACGTTTATGTGAGTAATTTCCGCTGCGATTTCCGACGATTTCGGAGGTTTATTCGTGTGGCAGCCGGCGTCAGCGGACCTGCGTTGGCATCTGCATGAACGGCCTCGAAGTCGTCACGTGAGTGACAGTTGACGCCGTCGGACCTGGGTCAACAGCTGCGCGACGATTTCGGAGTTCGTCTGAAGCGGCAAGTTGCGACGGTGGTTCGTCGTCATTTTGCGCGCATGACTCGCGGAATGTGTTTTGGCAGCTGGCGACAAGGGACGTGCGTCACTGCGGGCGACAATTTCGGAGCAACTGTGGAGAAAAAGTCAGCTGGGGAACTCGCCAGGCGCAAATGGATTTTTGCGTCCGAAAATATCGGTGGACGAGGAGAGACGACACTAAACTGCCCGACTTAGCGGGAGTTAACTGCCGTCCCGCCCGACCTGAAGTGCAGCGGCTTTTACTGCATGGCGGGCGCGTCATCGAAGATTTCGGTAGGAGTGCACGTGGTCAGACGGGAACTTCAGACCCGCCGACACTTACGGGTTGCAACAGAAAACGGAGTGGCTAAATCGCACTCAGGGGGAGTGGGACGCAGGCGGCGAGGGCAATTCGGGCCCATACACCCCGAAGGACACTCGGATGACGCTGCGTGCCTGATACTGTTGACTGCTGGCCGGCAATTTCGAGAGTGGATTCCCTGTAAGGAAGTCATTTTCAGGGACAGCCTCAACAGCCCACGATTAAACGGTGTTCAAGGTACCACGCCGACAATTACGGAGGAGAGTGGTACAGGCCGCCGGGACACACGAGAAGAAACTACTCGACGGCTAAGCGGGGGTTGAAGAACGGCGTGAAGGGCAGGTTAAAAGCCGGTGTGAACAACCTGTGACCTTCCGTCGCCCGAACCTCACCATCCCCACCAAGTTTCTGGTTCTGACTCATGCAGTCAACTTACTTGGCCGAATAATGGGGGTGAACACAGGCCTACCCTGTGCTGGTTAAAGGTACTTGGATTGGTGCTCGCTGAAGAGCTGTACAGAAAAAACAAAAAAAGGGGAGTTGCGGCACTGTTCTACTCCGACAAAAGCGGACTGGGTGAAACAGTACGCGAAAAATCGGGGCGCCGCATGACAACAATGGTGCAGTTCGCTGGTTTCTCCTGACCCGGGCGTCTACACGAGGTGAGGACGCAGCGGCAAAGCGGGGACCGGGATGCTGTAGAGTTTAGTGGCGTGACGGTCGCGGTGGGCTGCAAAACGGTTGGGCGACTGTTCCTTTTAATTAAGGGTCCCCGACTCCGATAGTTTTGTCAGAATGTTATCTTATGCTCTAGCCTGTAGTGGGGTGGTCTATAGCGAGTACAACCCTTCTAGGGTTTGCTATTTGTATCCTCATTCTTGCTAGTGCAGCCCTCTTTTCTCTTCTAACTTTCACATGGTATCAGAGCAGGTCGATCCCCTTGGATCGATCCTGTGGGTGGGCTTACCACCTCCTTGCTTCCGCTGCAACTACTGCTACTACTCTCTGAGCCGCACGCCCCGTGGCGTGCGGCAGTTTTTTCTTCTTCCCGCCGTGCGCCCCGAGGCGCGCGGCGGTTTTCTGCCCGCCGTGCGCCCGGAGGCGCGCGGCGGTTCTCTGCCCGCTGTGCGCCCCGAGGCGCGCGGCGGGCTGCTGCCCCGTCGTTCGGCGCGTCGCCCTATAGAGGCGCCGCGACGAGCGACGGGGACCCGCGCGTCGCCCCCTGTCGCCCGTCGTGGCCTGCGCGCGGCCCGTACGGGCTGCGCCAGGCCCACGCGCGACCCGTACGGGCGGCGCCAGGCCCGCGCGCGGCCTGTACGGACGGCGCCAGGCCCGCGCGCGGCTCGGGCCGCCTGCGCGCGGCTCGGGCGTCTGTACCAGGCCCGTGGTGGGCCCGTTCCTCGCTGCCCTTGCCCTCCCCGCTGTCCCCCAGTGCTTCTACTGGCGCCCCACCCCTCCTACTCCCCATTCTCCTGAATTAGGGTTCGGGGGTGAGGGGTATGGGGGTGACCTCACTGTGTGCCGTTCCCTGCTCCTCCTCCTCCTCCGTCTCCCTGTGCTGCAGCTGTCGCTGAGGGGGGGGTGGACGTGTTGGAGCCGGTGGAGTGCTACTAAGGGGGGGTGAAGAGGGAGTGGAGCTAGCGGTGTAGCAGCGGGTGTGTGCCAGGGGGAGTGGGATAGTTTGGGGAAGCTGAATTGAGGTTGCCGTCGTGTCGCCAGCAGCACCTGTAGTCCGGGGAGTTGCTCCGGTAGCCCAGTCGTAGCCAGCTGTGCCAGCCGCCCGTGGGTCCGTTGCTCGTCTGCCGCTGCTTTAGCCGCGGGGCCAGTTACTCCAGTATTCCGGAGCGTTGTTCCGGTAGCCGCTGTGCCAGTGTGCCTCTTGTTGCCCGTGTGTCTGCAGCTTCAGCCGTCGCCTCCTGTCTCCTCTCCTCTCACTCTGTCTCCTCCTCCTCACTTGCCCGTTGTGACTACCACTAGCTTTGCTCATGATTGTGAACTTTAAACTATTGCTTCTTGAACTTGTGCTCAGAATGTGTGGTGACATTGTGATCCACCCTGAGCTTGTACTGCTTTGCTTGCTCTGCTGATTACACCCCACTTTGGCTATGGGGGTGTGTTAGAATATTATCTTATGCTCTAGCCTGTAGTGGGGTGCTCTATAGCGAGTACAACCCTTCTAGGGTTTGCTATTTGTATCCTCATTCTTGCTAGTGCAGCCCTCTTCTCTCTTCTAACTTTCACAAGTTTTTGCCCCTCCATCGGGCTGGGTTCGCGCGGGCAACACCGACTATACCTTATCCGGAAAAAGCGGACGCTGGGTGAACGGCAGGAAGCGGAATTGTCGGGGGGTGAAACAACCAAAAAATATGAAGCTGCGGGTATTTCTTCGCTTATTGGAGTGCGGTTGAGTCGTTGGGGGACTTCGCCTGAAGGGCACTTTCTGAAGTTGCGTGGCAAGAAACACAGCGGCAAGGATGCCTAGGACCCCCGGTGTTTAAACGCACACCTCGGGAAATTCTTCAAAAAAAAGGGAGTGTGGGAGCAGTCGTAGCTTCGGGAACTTATCGACCGGTGATGAGCGATGTGGTGAAACATCTGCAAAGCGCTGGTGGGAGCAACGTGGGTTTTTGTTAAACAGCATCGGCGGGAGCAGTTTCGACGACGAGGTCAACGGTGTTGATGCCACTAGGTTCGGTGAAATTCGGTCTCGGAATAACCGAGGGCAGTCCCCGGTTCTCGATTGAACCCACATGCTAGGGTCGGGTAACCGACGGAAACTGATGGTGACCGAGTGGGCGGCTATAGCACGTCCGAGATTTTCGGAGGCGAACTGCAACTACGGATTTCCGGGGTTTGATTCGAGCGACTATTTTGGAGTTTTTACGTGGGGACTTACCGGTTTTACGGCGAGGAGCGCCGACAATTTTCGAGGAGAATGCGGCATTCGGTTAAACGCGCGCAACAATTACGTGGGGCAACACCGCGAGAACTACACGGAGTTTTCAAGGGGTACGAACGACGAACTGAAGAAGGCGGCATCAACAGTGAAGGGGTGGGAGAGACAGCTGCATTTTTTCATCCCTGCCCAGGAGCCTTCAGCGCACTACGACAAATGGCTCGGCGAGTCTGGACAAAACCGCTGGAGATGCTGACATCATCTGACCCTAGATCGTGCTCGACATCAATTTCGGAGTGACATGTAGGTAAGCCAACATAACTCCTGTGCAGCCATGGCT